CCAGGGCGCGGGGCAGCACCTTCCAGGGGAACTTGGGGCCTCTCCAAGCGGGGGGCAGGCGGTACACCAGGGCCGCTGTTGGGTGAGAGGGTCAGGCAAGAGCCGTGCCGCAACCGCGCCGCCCCGCACGCCCCACTCACCTGCGCCGTACAGCACCACCATGCCCGTCACCATCAGCACCGGGTGCCAGTTGAACATCTGAGCGCTGCCGTCCAAGGCGAAGCCACCGCGCCAGTGCTGGCACCAGGCGCTCACGAAGGCCACGCAAACGAAGCCCAGGCCGCCCAGGAAGGCGCAGAAGGGCAGGAAAGGCAGATCCAGCATCTCCGCGATGGGATGGCGGTGCCTGGGGAAGAACGAGGCGTCCGCTCAGCCTCCGCCGGGGCTTTCTACCCGCACCGGCTCTTGCCTGCATGCAGACACCCCCAGGGAGGAGCCAGGCTAAAAGGGGAACCAAGCACCCCGAGGAAGGGCCGCCCTGGCCCAGCTGCTCCCTGGCTAGGGAAGGATGCCAGGGCTGGAGCCGGCCAGCTGGGGACATGCAGGGTGAAACCGGTCCCTTCCGAGCCAGGTTGCTGGGCAGCACCCCACCTCACCGCTCAGGCGTGCTGCACCCCAGAACCGTGCCCAGGGGATAGTAGCAAGGAACCTCATAGGGGGTCCAGGTGTCTCCTGTAACCCTGCACCCTCCCACAGCCCCCTCAGCCCCCGCTAGATTGTCCCCAAGAACCCACCAATCTGATCCCCTCTCTCTCACGCATACTTACACTCTCTCCAATCCCCCCCAGCACCCCCAAACCTGCACCCCAGTTCCCCTTCCACCTCCCCACTGGCACCTGTACTTCCTTCTGAACCTTTCCCTCAGCACCTTGGACCCCTCCAGCTCCACCTGCAGCATAGGACCCACCCCAGCTGGGTGCGAGGAGGCATTCCCGTACCACCTTGACCCAGATCCTGGCAACCCCAGCACCCCTGCTCCCTCCTGCCTGCTCTGGGCAAGCCCTCACCCCACCTGCTCCACGAGAGTTGGGGGGACCCACAGGTAACAGCCCCACAATCCTGCCTGGGCCGAGCAGCGGGACCGGCAAGGCCCTGCCCTCCGTGCTGCCCTCAGCCCACGGGGCTCGAGCAGGTGACTGGCAGGAGCGCTGCTGCGCTTATTTGCCTGGTGATTTGCATCTGCCTCCAGAAATAGATATTTATGCCTCCTCCCGGGGCGGGGGACAGCCCTGTCCGCCCCGCATCGGCCGCCCCACGGGACTGTGAGGCAGGAGGTGGGTGGGACACGGCCCCGACGCCACGTGAGGATCAGGAGCTCAGCCGCCCACTCGCTCCAAGGCCTTGCGATACTCGTCACGGCGCTGAGCAGCCCCACAGCTCTCCCGGGCCTGGCCCCACAGCTCCTCCAAAGCTTGGGCCGCAAGGTTCCCCTGGGTCTGGGGATGTGGCGGCCTGGCCCCACAGCTCCCCTAGGTCTGAGGTCTGGCCCCACAGCTTCCCTGGGCCTTTTTTAGCTGCTGGTGAAGCACTATCGCGCCTAACTCCCTGTATGGCTGTAAGCCTATTAGACAATATTTATGATGGTATCTAGACCTCTAAAGATAAAGAGGTGTCAAGGGAGGCTATTACAGCATTCAAATGAGCTTCTCCTTTACCTTCTATGAGATTTAACATCTTACCTGGATAGATATTTTTTGCTAATCATCCAGACATCTTTAAGGCACTTAAAGACTCCAGAGTTCTGCAGGAAGGTCCTATTCAGGAGACTGGTTGACAGAGACACTTGGGAGGCAATCCTGAAGACAAAGTAGTCCAGGAAGGCTGGATGTTTTTCAAGAAGGAAGTCAGGTGCAGGAGCAGGCCGTCCCCATGTGCCAAAAAATGAGCTCTCAGGGAAACAGACTGGACTGGCCAAACAGAGAGCTATGGTTGCAACTAGAGAAAAAAAAGAGTTTATGGCCTTTGAACAAAAGGGCAGGCCACTCATGAGGACTACAAAGATGTTGTGAGGCGATGTAGGGAGAAAATTAGAAGGGCCAAAGCCCATCTAGAACATAATCTGGCTACTGCTGTAAAGGATAATTAAAAAAGTTTCTATAAGTACATTAGCAATAAAAGGAGGACTAAGGATAATCTCCATCCTTTATTAGAAGGGGACAGAAACATAGTGACAAAGCATAAGGAAAAGACTGATTTACTTAAAGCCTTCTTTGCCTCAGTCTTTAGTAGTAGGACCAATTGTTCCCTGAGTACTTAGCCCCCTGAGCTGGTAGACAGGGACAGGGAGCAGAGTGAAGCCCCCATAATCCAAGGGGAAATTGTGAGGGAACTGCTACACCACATCCAGCCCTGCGGCTCCCTTTCTGAGGAGGAAGGCCTGAGCGCAGCAGGACAGAGGGGATCCCCCATTCTCCTGGACCCCCCCCGCCCCTTGAGCACCACCTTACCTCCCTCTGTTTCACGTCCTGCCGTGCTGCTGTACCCAGGCGGTGCGGGCCCCGGGATGGCTGTCAGCGGTGGGAGAAGCAGGCAGGAGAGCTTGTGCCTCCTCGCTTGTCCCCACACAGCCCTGCTCCCTCACTGTGTCCTCATCTCCTCTCTGACCGGCTGCCCCAAGGCAGGGCGCGCGGTCCTGGGGTGGGGTGAAGGAGAGCAATACTGGGACATGGCATGCCCGAACCTGCCCTCGCAGCGTGGCCTGCTCAGCACTGCCCACTGGTTTGTCCAGCACGAGAGGTGTGAGTAACCTGCCTGGACGCTGCTCCCCGGGACTCTCACATCTCCCTCGTCCCACCATTTCTTCCCATCTGTTTCCTGAGACAAGGACAGCTGTAAGGGTGTGGGGGAGAGACTGAACCTGAGTATTCTGTGTGGTAAGAAGAGAAGGGAGACAGCTTATTCATGACAGCCCAGCCTCCACATTAGGGGCAGAGCACGGCTCTGCATCGGCATGCTAAAAACTGGCAGGAGCTGCTGTTGGTTTGATCTTCCTTTGGGTTTCCTGGCAGAGGGGGTTTGGGAGGTGCAGGGGGTTGCGTCCCACCCTGACAAACAAAACCTCCGTTCCGCCTCCAGGTCCCGGTTGAAGCGAGAAGCGACGCTGAGCCCCTCAGCTCCAGACCATGAGCTGGCTCCGCCACTGGGGATGCCGGGGCTGAGGGCTCCAACCCCTGGAGAAGGAAGATGCTTCAAACCAGCAACTACAGCCTGGTGCTGTTCCTGCAGTTCCTTCTGCTTTTCTACGATCTCTTTGTCAACTCTTTCTCGGAGCTGCTCCGCACAGCCCCTGCCGTCCAACTCGTCCTCTTCATGTGAGTGCCGGGCAGGCGTAGCAGGTAGCACGGTGGGGCAGGAGGGCTGGGGTCTCATCACGTCTCTCTCCTCCTGCAGCATCCAGGACATCGCTATTCTCTTCAACGTCATCATCATCTTCCTCATGTTCTTCAACACCTTCGTCTTCCAGGCCGGGCTGGTCAACCTCCTCTTCCATAAGTTCAAGGGGACCATCCTGCTGTCGGCGGCCTACCTGGCGCTCAGCATCTCCTTCCACGTCTGGGTTATGGTAGGCTGGGGTGGGCTTGGGGCTGTGGGGCCACTCCTGAGGGCAGACAGCATGGCCAGTGGTTCGCTTGCTTTGCTGGCCACAACCCCCTGCTCTCTTCAATCCCTCCCTCAAGAGAAGGTGGCCATGATCTATCACCACAGGGACAGTCTAGAGTTCATTCTCAGGGACAAATGTAGCTGTCTTTCATGGAGGTTTCCATTGCATAACTGTCCAAATACCATCTTTCCCTAAGGGCTGTGACATGATGGAAAATCCTCTTTCCTCAGGGGAAGCCCAGTGGATCCAGCTCTGCGCTGGCACAGAAGCCCGCGTTGGGGTAATCCCCTCTGAAGGCCATGACAGCAGCTCCTGGTTTACCTGGGATTAATCCCCAGCAAACACCAGTGCTCAAAGCCTGGGGGTGGCCCCCTCCCCGCTGGCACTGGAGGGGTACTGAGGGCTGTTGGGGGCTCTTTTCCCTGTCCAGGCTGCGTTTTCCCCTTCTCTCCCTCATCTAAACTCCTTCCTGTCGCCTGCCCCAGCCCCCAGAAGAGCAGTCCACACGCTTTGCTCAGCCCCTGGGCACCCTCCAGCCTCTGGGCAAGGGTCATTCTCCACCTCAGTGCCCCGGGATTGGGGGAAACGCTTTGAGGTGGGTGGGGGGCTGCTGTGTGCCAGGGTGCCCGAGCGGGCAGCCGTGCCGGTGCTGCCCACGCCATCCGGGCAGGGGATTGACGGGGATTTGTGAGGATCTGAAGTCCGAAGCTAGAATAGGTCCCGACTCATTGGCTAAATCCCCCTGAGCTGCTTAACCTTTGGGCTTGGGGGGCTGCCCCCCGAGCCGGCAGCGTCGCCCCTGGCCCGTGTACAGCCCCCAAACTAACGGATGGGTTCTCCCTGGCTCCTGTCTGTCTGTCTGTCTGCCTCAGAACCTGCGGTGGCGAGACTCCAGCCGCTTCGTGTGGACCGAAGGCCTGCAGACTCTTTTTGTTTTCCAGCGGCTGGGTAAGGGCTCACGGTCGCAGGCTCCCTGGTGGGGTCCTGCCTGTTTTTTGGGAGGTTGTGGGGGCCAAGGTGGGGTCCCACCCTCACCCCCGCTCCCTCCTGCAGCGGCCGTGCTCTACTGTTACTTCTACAAGAGGACGGCGGTGCACCTGGGGGACCCCCTCTTCTACCAGGACTCGCTCTGGCTGCGCAAGGAATTTGCCCAGTTCCGCGGTTGATGGCTCCCCTCGGCTTTTGGGCCACCCACCCTCTCCCATC